GCATTAACAGTAGTAGTACTAATAAGAGTAGTAGTAGTAGTAGCAGCAGTAGTAGTAGCAGTAGCAGTACTAATAATAGTAGTAGTAGTAGTAGCAGCAGTAGTAGTAGCAGCAGTAGTAGTAGCAGTAGCAGTAACAGTAGCAGTAGCAGTAGTAGTAGTAGTAGTAGTAGTAGTCGCAGGAGCCGCATTAGTAGCGGTAGGAGAAAGAGTAAAGCCAGGGGTACGAGTCGGAGGAGGAGCCAGGAGGAGTAGGAGGGGAGTAGTAGTGGTCCATCTGCATAGCTCTTCACGGCTTGCATTTACCTTAGTCGTAGTTGTTCCTGATGCCAACCGTCTAAAGGACAAGTCCGAACGCTTCACAGCCCTTTGCCCACCTTGGTCGGGATCGGTATGACCAAGCAGCACTCCGAATTTCGAGGGACTATTAGCCTAAGTGTGGCCAGCGTGTTGACTGCAACATACTGCAACGGTTCGAATCCGAGCCGTGAGGCTTGAAGATTTGTTACCAAAAGTGTTGTCATGACAATTAGTTATTGCGATGATGCCGCTGTGCAATCATCATGATCGTCCGCACACAATGCACTGTTGGAGCTCCGTTTTCGCAAGATCGGCATTTCAGTGGTTGACAGACTGAGATGCTTACCCCGGGCACAGGGTCATTGGTGGCGGTGGCGAATCAGACGTCGGCCAGACTTAGCCATCGTGTGAGCGCGTGCGCGCGTGTCTCGGGTGATGCAGTCCCCGAGATTCAGGAAACCTCTCTAATGTTGACTCCCCGGGGCTGCGACACCAAAGACCAGCCTCTGCCTGCCACGTCTGACCGGTCTGGAAAATCAGTTCAACACTTTGCTCTGGTTTCAGTGAAACAGCGCAGACTCCAAACACTGAGAAAACACCTAGCAGTCCAAGTTCCCAAACATTCCCAAACCAGTACGAAGGGCTTTGGGTTAAAATTTGTTAAAATGCGCAGCGCGCAGCATGTCAGGAGCAGCATCGCACCGTGTTGCGTCAAATGCCCCACCTCAAAACAATTTCGGGACCCTGGCCGGAGCAAAACTTTCGAGGCGGAAACATGAGTCACAGCCCAACATATGCAAACTTTACACCGAACGGAAGAGCCCCGTAGTGTTGCCAACTTTCACCGTCTGGGGAAGAAGTACAAGATAGTCAAGCCAGCGGAAGTGGCCTGCGCATCTCCAGCATCTGCAAGGTAAGGCAATGACAGGCTGTGCTGAATCCTGAGCGGTAATGAGCCGCACGGTTCTGGCTGTGCAGCACAGTGACAAGACGTCCCGGTAAGTGCACTGCAGTCTGTCGCTGACTTCCTGGTTTCGTATAGACATTATGGGTATTCCTGGTCTCCCTGTCGGCTGCATGCAAGACGTTGAGTGACTCTGGATTCCATGTGCGTGGTATCCTGCGAGTCAACCTGTTTCTAAGCAACTGACTGTGGTGTCTCCGATATGTCCCGCTTTCGGGATGTCGGATGTGGACGTACAGTACTCACCAAGCTCTACTCTGCGGGACGGTTGATCCCAGACATATTATGTTTTTGGATTGAATCCGTTTGGTACCACAAACGAAAGAGTGAGCAGTGTTGATGTGCTTGAAAGACAAGCCTTCAGACCAGGGTTAGGGATACCTGGGCCTGGACTGTCGCACTTGCAATTGCTACCGCGCCTCTTCGAAGAGGGTGGCAGCTCCTTCATCAAAGGATGCGCTCCTCAGGACATGCGTGAGTCACTCAGAGAGCCTGTCTCGGGCAGCTTTCTGAAAAGCTTGGCCCATCACTGCGGCGTGCCACCGCCATACCATGGAGGGAAAGCTGTACGCATGGGAGGCAAATGTAGAGTCCCTCCAGCCTGCCAGCGACAGGTCAAGTCAGGCAAGTGCAAAAAAGGGCTCCTCAGTCATAAGAGAAGGAAAGCAACCGGACTTCGGCCGGGTTCTTCGGCGCTCGTCGGGGATTTTTGGTGTTTGTGTCTTCGCAAGCACTTGGAAGTAGTTGTCTGGGAGCAAACTCGCGCACATAAAGGGAGTTCGCCGGGATCCTGTTCTCGGGTCCATTTTACGCACGACGAAAAACGTGGGATCCTTATGTGGCCTACAAAAGTGATCAACGACAAATTTGGTGACATGTTTATGGGGCCCTGGACAAACTATAATTAAGAGTTCGCCGCCAAGGGTGGGATCTCAATTTTCTGTTTGTGTGTATTGAGGAGTTGTCCTGGCGGTACTAGCGGCCTCCATGTCCGGCGGATCCCACGCTGCTCCTTCTGGTGCTTCCTGCTACAGACGGTGTAGGATAGATGTTGGATAGATGCAGCAGTGAGTCGAATGCTCACACAACCCGCAATCCAGCAATAGAGACCTAATGCTGGATGCTCTTCGTGCAAAAAGGAAGAGTTTCTGCTGCCGAGGCCTCTTGCGGAGGGATGACTGGTGGGCCCTCTAAGCGCTCTGATGGTATGCGTCTGACCTTTGCTGTGAGGGAAAGCAGCGTCGACCGTCCACATGGACCGTGTCGCTTGTGGTGCATGCTCACGTTCACCCTGCCTCGGCCTGTGGGGGAGTAATGGCGGGACCTTCCGGGCCTTCAGCTGGTGTTGTTAGCACCTCCGAGTGAGAAAGGCATCATGCTTCACAGGTTAATGCCGCAGTCACATTGGCAGGAGTGCACTTCGTAAACCGGGAAGTGATGACTTGACTGTAGATCTATGTTCGCAGCTTGTAACGTAGAGAGTGTACAGTGGACCCCGGAACATGACGACTCTCAAAGCATGACATGAACCGACGCGAAAGAAGAATTCCCAAACCACAGCCCCGAAATAGACGTCTCGAGCCTGAGAAGTTGCCGCACACGGCTGTTCCGCTGGTCTCTGTGTAGGCAAGTGTTCCTCCAAAACGACACCGTGAACAGCAAGCGCCCTTATTTACATTGTAAAACATGGTCCAACTGAACTGCATGTGCATAGCCGGTGCAGCGGGCTTCCTGAGTCTCTTCGACCACCTGCCGGTTGTCTTGGCTAAGGTTGCTTCCAAGTTCCTGAGCAGGGCCCAGTGCCGCCGTGCAATGTGCGTGAGACAAGTCTACCTACCTGGGACTAAGCTTCGGAAGTCACAGGCTCTGCCTACCCCGAGATCTGGGCGTTCATTGGACGGCAAGCAAACTTAGGCAAGGCAAGGTCGCGTCTGCCTCCGGAACAGGAGCCAAGATCGCTCTTTGCTCTGCAGGACGATCTTGTGCGGGAACCTGCTGAAGCTGTTCTCGCATGTTAACAGCGGCACAAGCAGGGAAGTCTCCTGCCATTGTCGTTGGCTCCGCTGAAGGGCATTGCATGGTCCCTGTCCAATCAGCTTCACTGAAAGATTTCCTGTGATTCACAGGCTTGCATCTTGCCTTCGTGGGCCCGGGCCGGAGCCGTGCCCGAACACCTGCGTGCACATGATGGCTGTTTGGTCCCTTCTCGGCTCCGCCCTATGCTAAGTGCCCTGCTGGACGCTCCGATGAGATCCGACCTTGCCACACAGGACACAGAAGTCTGCGGAAACCGGGAACTGTGTGCAGGACCCCGGCTCGGTGACTTTGTCCTGGCGGGTCGTACAGTCAGTGACCACAGGCTCGGCATGCTTGGTTGATGCTTGGACATCCCTCGGCCCCAGATCCAAGCAGCGGGGACGCAAGGCTGAGCTAAGACGGCAGACGGCAGCTTCCACTGGAAACATGTCAGAACTCTTGCGGAAATCAGCTCCGTGCTCCTCGACTTCCAGAGGTGCTTCGAAGCAGGCGACGACGAGCAAAGAGCCTTAACTCCGCACCGAAGAAGCTTCCCGTGCTCAATGTTGACCTCATAATTTTACACTCAAGCCAAACCCTTAATTGGGAAAGCTTTACATTCAAAAGGAAAGCAAGCTTTAGAAGCCAAGCAATTACTACGACCGCTCCAGTATTGCAGAGAGAGAAAAACTTGCAGTGTGCCCGAAGAAGCCGGCTCTACTTGCTGTATTACTGTACTTTTGTAATAGACCGACCCCCCCCCCCTGGCCCTAAAATCAATCAGGGGGAGGGTTTATTATTATGAGGTTGACATTAATTTCTCCACGTCATGACCCGTCATGCACTGGGACGCAGTGCAAATCAGTTTTTGTGGCTTAACCCGCCCTAGGGCGCGAATCAGCAGCCGGTTTGTGTGTTTATATAACCATACGTATTATATGATCATATATATATATACACACACACACACACATATATATATATAATAATCTATACTATAATGTTGTTCTTTTAAATTTCTGTCTTCTTCCACACAGACAGGAGGATCAGTCGGTCCACCCTTGCACACGCAAGCGTGCACTGGTCAGCTGTATTTCTGTCTCTCTGTCTGTATGTGTGTGTGTGTGTGTGCACGGGCAGGGGCTGCGGCTGCCACTCCACGATTCACACCCCAAACATCGAAGTTGACCGCAGGAATGCTATACCCATCTAAGCGAATCGGCCACAGGGATGTGAACTTGAATCCTTAAACATCATCCAAAGCCCCTTTGAACGCTGGGATACGCTGGGCCTACAAATGCCTCAACCATGCCGCAACGCCTCACCCCGGATGGTCATTCCAACTTCACATGCGCTATGCAGATGTCAGGTGTATGCCTCAATCAATGATGCATCAATGCATCACTCCGGATACTCACACCCCGAGCGTTTATACAAATGTCATATGTTGCGATTCGTGTGCTTTGAACACCCCAATCACCATGTACCGCTGACTGTACATATGCTTCGATGATGCCTCAATGCATCACCCAATTGCTGACAACGACCCAAAACCCCTTCGAAGGCATGACTTAGCTTTGCTTGCTAGGCCCGGCACCCACAAGGGTCAGGAAAATCACGCCAAACACGATCAAAGCACCGCCTGCTGCAGTCTCATCGCTTGGCATTCACTGGCTTGTTCGAGTCTGGCGGTCGTGATCCTCATCACCACCTTCGTCATCGTCGCCATCCTAAGTTTCGTCATCATCCTCATAAGCACCATGAGGCCCACTTCGTCCTGTGTCCTGCTTGTTGTTGTCCCTCTGGTCCTCTTTGCCGGTCATCCTCGTCTTGCTGTTTGCCCTGGTCGTGCTCGATGTTACCGTCGTCGTGCAGTATCACCATTGCTTTCATCGTCATCCTTCGTCTTCATCATCTCCACCATCATCATCGACCCGCACGATCACTAACTAGCGAAAGACTTCAACAACCGATCACTGACCGACTGGGTTATCATGATTACTCCTACCGACTCCTACCATCCTTAGCTTGCAGCTTGCAGAATGCGCAGTGCTGCTATCATCACTTGCGCATTGCTGTCATTATATGTGTCCTTGTATGGCAGCTCTCCGTTCCCAGCTATGCCTCCACCACTGGGCTCTTCGAAGATTGGCATGGGTTGAAACTCTCCACCGTCCAAAACAAGCCCGGCAGCAGCAGCACGCAGGGAAAAGTACGTCATCTGTTCCTGCATGGCATCGGGGTGGCTGGGTCCAAGCAGTGTGGGAGCTTCTCTGTAATACTTCGGGCTGCTTGTGCCGGGGTAGCTGTGTCAATGAGCCGATGCGCACCGCCACAGGTCCTGCTCGTACAAACTCGAGTTCTGCTCAGTCTCCTGGAGTGGGCGACACCGCCGGCATGTCGTGCAAAAAGCATTCCATGGACAGAGAACCACGGGGGCTCTATTGCCTGGCACCGAACAGCACACTCCGGGGCCCTCGAGATCTTGACAATCCCTACCATAGAAACCTCCAAATCCAGGATACCCAGACCTCGGCACCCAATGGCAGCAGTGGGTGACCGGATCCAGGGTGTCGTGTCTGCTGGGCCACCTGTGGTTTTGCTATGTTTCGCTTTGGAAGGCATTTGGGAGTATGGTTCGGCCCTTGCCCTGGTGCACGGAATCAAGTCTCTGGGAGATTTGCGCGGTAAACCTGATTCCCGCCTGCATGAGGCTCCCGCGCCCATCAGTCTTCAAGCCGTCCTGCTCAGCAAGCCGAGGCGAACAATGGTCTTGCATGCCTCACGTCCAACTATTTTACATGGGCGAAGAAGCGCGTCAACCTTGCCCGGCCCCTTGTCATGCAACGGAATAACTTTATAGGCAGAACTGAAGACAAAGAGCTAGGAGGAGCTGGGCAGATCGCGACTCAGGCTTGGACCACATGCCCAGGGCAGTGCTGGCTTGCGTCCACCTGCCGCGAAGCTCCAGAGCCGAGAGACCCGATGCCAGAATCGTCGGAAAGAGTTGAGCCGCGATGCAGGCCCTACATAGTTGGCTCGGGATCCAGTAACAAAGCAAACGAGTCACCTAAAGTGGTCAGATCACTCTGTTCAGCTCTGTAGAGGCCTCGTGGCGTCTGGAGCCTCAACTCCGTTCGCAGGTAGGCATAGCTTGCTGCTTGACTGTGGGTTATGAATCAACTAAATTGACCGGGAATCCCGATTGCCAGCAAATTGCAAAAGTCAATGCCGATCCCGAAATGTTTCAAGCTTTCCACAAGCTGTTTGCGGATCCGGATCCATGCTGGACGCGGAGGATAGTGACAACTCCCCTGAAACCCACCAAACACAGCACACGGACCTCAACAGCCAAGGTCAGAGGAAAATAAAACCTCAGTTTGCTGCTCAGGGCATGTCTGGGTGCAGCACTACAGTCTCATAATCCCTTGCTGCCACTGCTAAACCCTGCCATGATACCATCGAAAGCATGCAGGACATGTTGTTCTTAGTTGCCGTTGTAGCGCAGCTGCAGGCGCACCCGTCAAGAAAAAAAGGGTACACCCTACACCTCAACGGAAACCACCCGCTCCTGCCACTCAGGGAGTCCCTGGATGTCTGGGGCGCCGGCACCAGAGGGAGCAAAGACGCAATCGAAGCCTAGTCTGTAGGTTCTTGTGGGCTGCTCTGGTGCATATTTCAGTTTCCGGAACTTGCTCTGTTAGACTGAAACTTCAGCACTTGATTCTGATTGTGGAAGCCTACCGTCTCGCATCTCTTGTCCTGGCCAGGCTGCGATCATGAAACTCTTCGTCAGCTTGGTGCCGACGGCCTCAATCCGACACGGCAGGCCGCAGTTCCGAGCATCGACTTGAAGCAGACATCGTGCTGTATTTCACAACCGTGTGGGATTGGCATGTGGACTTGCAATTCCAGGACAATCAGTGCTGCCATGAACCTGAATAGCTGGCTGGGCGGAGCACCAGTAAGAATGGTAAAATGCTGTGGGCGCTTGCCTCAGGTTTTGTGGCAGCTCAACTGGGAGGGACGGAACAGGTGCAAACGGAAAAGCAAAGTGAAAAAAGGGGCTTTGCTGCATCGGATTCCCACCGGCTGAACATCGGTCCCTAGGTTAACGCTTCGCCAAACACAACGGTAGTAGGCCTACTTCACATGGAAGCCTGTCCATCCCCGCCAGGATGCATTGGCGTGGGCCGCAAGTCCCGTCCGCGCCGTTTGGCCGAGCCAAGGCTGAGCAGGAGGTCCGCCGATGCAAAAAACACCCTAAAGAACGGTAGCATTGCCCCAACGGGCGGCAAGCACAAGAATAAGCACCTGGAGAGTCATCCACAGAATGCCACAACATAGCAGCAGCAATTAGAGAACTACACAGCAATGATGGCCCTGGGGTCAACCCGGTATTGACAGCGCTAACGATCGAACAACGTCATCGCACTGGATGTGCTGGGAGTGTTTATCGGAGTTGAATGAATCAATAAAACATACTATAACATATTATAGTATAACATAGTATAAAGTACAATGAATATACTCTAGTATTTAACTAAAGATAAGATGAGGAACCTGTACGTCTCGCCAGAGACCTGGAAGGCTCCAGTCGCATTTATCTTTTTCAAAAGCCTTCTCCGCGAGCTGAGCGGCTCCCTGAGATCACAAGCCCTCTGGTCACACCAGCGCATGTTCTGCGGCTTTCCCACAGCCGTGACCGAGCAGCATGCGAACTTTTCTAAGCTACCTACATGTGGAGAGTTTTGAAAAGCGGTGCAGCCGCCTCGCCTGTACATGCGGCACATGCCCAGCATCACGGGCCGGCGTCCCCGCCTGGGTCACATTAAATCAAGTCTGCCAGCTCATGAGCCTGCCGGCTGAGGCCCTGGCTCTGTATTATTTCTGTGACAATCTCTTTCACCTCCGGCGCGGCACAAGGTGAAAACAAGCTGCCTCCAAGGTGCTTCCTGCCGGTGAGTTGTGACAACGTGTGACGACATGGCTGCTGCTACAGTCTCAGCCTGCCCAACGAAACAGTAGAGTGTTACGGCCAATATGTGCCAATCGATTTCCACGTCGCCTCGTCCTTGCGTTCTAGCAGACCATCTGCAGGGAGTGACAGCACTGCCTGCAGTCAGCGCAGGACTCTGGATGAAATCTAGCCACGAGGGTCCCACACTGACCTGCATATGCTGACAGCACTAACCAGTTTGATGTCTCTCAGAGCCCAGCACCCTGCGCTAGGAAGAGCATGATCTATGATCACAATCAACACCAACATCCGAATAACAAAGGACAAGCTCCTTGCGAGACGCAGAAGTTGAAATTCACATCGGCTTGGGCAATGAAGCATATTGCAGCTCCTACAAACCTTTCCCGAATCGCATGCTACTGAGCTACTGCTTCGGCTATCTTCGGCTTTAGGCATCTGGGACCTTGCCCTGTCTTCTTGAAAGTATTCTGAATGTGGCTCGCAGGCGCAAGCTCAATTCGACACATGTCCCTGAACAAAATCTCATTGTCCAGCTCCAGTGAGCCAAATGTGCGGAGAAAAACTCGGATCGACTGTGGCCACGAGTCTGCATTGAACCGGCCAGGGACAGTCATGCCTCCAACTCGCCGCGAACTTTCCGCAGGCTTATCTCCTTCAGGTCACGGCCTTCAGCAAGACGAGGATAATCATGCAGGCTGGAGCAACCGATATCTTCCAGAATCTGGCCTTTCAGGATTTTGCGGAGCTCGTGTTTCCACCTCAGATCGTGAGTGATCCCTCGGCCTCATAGCACCTGCAATGCCTGTCCGGTTATCGTCCACGGAAAAAGAGAAACGCTCTAAAGAAAAAGGTTAAAACTTGAAGCCCAGGCCAAATTTTCCAACATGGCTTGGAACCACTCGCTCCAGCAATGTCATGGCAAAGTGACTTGACTTTCGACGTGGCGCTGGCCTCAGGCGTCCTAAGCTGCGATTGAGTCAGAAAACAAATCGTCATCGTATTGAGTCTAAGTTGGTAATGGCTGGCATGGGCGAAACCAGTCTAGCATTTTCGCACCGGCCATCTAGAAGGCACTGGGCGAAACCAGTCTAGCATTTTCGCACCGGCCATCCAGAAGGCACTTACAGTTGGATGCGTCAAGCACTACCCACTGAACAAAAAGTCGGACTCGGGATGACCCAAGCAGTGCCATCATGAGATGATTAGACTCATGCCGAGTGGCTCCGCCTCTTGGGGAATCTCTGGCACCTCTGGCTTCTTGCTTTTGGCCTTCTTCGCTGGTGGGCCTCGCGCCAATTCTCTACCTCTCTGTGCCGTTGCATCCAGAGGCCTAGCAGCACCAGGCAACGCACGAAGCTCAGCCCGTCAGGGCCCTCATGAAACGGGGGGTCGCCCCTCAAGCAGCAGTCCGTGCCAACAATTGATCGAACATGTTAGCTTTGCTGCCGGCCCCGTGCGCCTAGCTTGTCCAATAACTGTTGAAAATATTCAGTTGTAGAACTCAGCAATTGCAATCACGGTGAAGGCCGCCTCCTCCTTGATCCAATTCCTTGGTGATCTCTGGCATCTCTGCCTGAAGGTTGGATCTCGTGCCATCCCGCCAAAGTTCCATGTCTGACATTGGTGGAACACACAGCCCGCCGTATGTAAGCGGCTTGGGCTCGAAACCCATTCAGAGCCCATCCAAAACGGAGTGTTTTGACATTTGCCGTTGGGTAGGGCCTTGGGTTCACCTCTACCAAAAAGGACTGGTGCTCTTGTCCCTGCATAACACAGGAGCATGGAATTAGGATCTTCCGAGACATCCACACGCACGCCGAGAAGTGTTGTCCTAGGCCCACCTGGACCCAATCTGCGACCGAAGCACAGCAACTAGTATCACTCGTCATCGTTCCACGGAAACTCTACACCTACACCACTGTCAGCACGGAAAAGCCGATGCACCTTTAGGGAGGGCCACTGCAGTGCTCCCAGCCGAATGCCTTTTTTGCCTGAAACAAGGTGTCAAGGGACAGCAGCACAAATCTACGTGTGCACACCGATTTCTCTTTGAGTCAACACACCCCGCTTTATGACAACTCCTCGGGCATTGGAGACAACTCTTGATGCGCTACCAGTACTTCAAATCCACTACAAAACCGCCAACCAATATTACAAGCCTGAACCCTAAACCCTACAATGGATGTTTGACTCCTCTTGGGCCTGGCTTGGACTGCCCGTCGTTCTTGTCCTGAGTGGCGGGTTCTACAGAAATCGGGTCCTAAGCACAGCTTCATCGGATGCAAGGTGTGTATTACCATCTGCTTTCCAGCTCTCGCTCCACGACTCCTGGTGCTGCTGCTGCTACCATGCCATTACTACGATTTCTCCTTATTTCACTGTTGCTGCTGCTACCAGCCCTGCCACTACCACGGCTTCGACGCCTTGCCCCACGCTTGTATCCAGCAGGCAGTTCTGGCAGTGGGTCTGATACCGCAGGTCCCAGCAGTCTTCGGTCAACCTTTTGCTAAAGCTGCTTTCTGTGGCATCTACCGATGGCGCAACCTGCGGTTCTCAAACTCTTGGAGAAGCTGTTATCAGACAGCACGAGTTGTCCAAACCTTAGGCAGGGTGCTTTCGAAACTACATTCCGATCAACATTGAATTTCAGCCGGAGGCAGCCAGGCATCCACGTAGTATCGACGAAGATCAACAGCACCAGCGGTGATGGAGATCGTAATGTCTGCGATGAGATTCCATGACTTCTCATCATCCTAGTGGCAGGGTGTGATATGTTGCGCATCGCCGAGTTCTTCATGCCGCAGCTCCGGGGCAGAAGTTTAGTTTAGTCATGCTGGTTGACATGGCATCGCATTCAACGAAAGAAACCTCCAATTGTTCAGCACAGTACTACTCACTTACTACGGAACCAAGCCTCCTTTGCCAGAGCTCCGGACTCACCAGACAAACCACGAACATTGAAGTAGTGATTGAAACCAGGCAGACGGAGCGAGCAGTCTTTGGCCGTTAGCGCATCCTTAAACCCATGCCTCACAACAGACTCATTCTCATAAGGTTACGGGGTTCTTGCCGCAACCGAAAATGCAACACGAAAATACAACTCCGTCACACGGTAAGAGCTACCAAGAAGCCTGCCCGTTCCACAAGCACGGTCAGGTTTGGGCGAGGCATGGGTGAAACTTATTCAACATCTACTGCAGAACCTGATGAATACCACTGTCGGCTTCATCGCTTCATCCATCCGCCTTCTGCAAGGCTGCATCAATGTCGGGAACTGCCTTGCCTCAGTTACAGTTACTTCACGAATCCAACAGACTCACCCGCACACCTCAGCCATGCTTCAAACAGTATCTTCAACGTTGCTGCTAGTATGAACCTGGTTGACCGTATGTAGATACCGTTTGTAAGTCTGAAACTGGCAGAACGAATTGCTCTGCAGGCTGGGGCTTCTGTGCACACGGCACTGGTGCCACCATCGCTGTGAGACGCGGTGAGCATCGTCCCAGCTTTGCACTCTTCCGCTGACTCATTGCAGCACCACCGTCACAACGGTGGCAAACATGTCCCCATGTCACGATCGTTGATCAGCGTACTTATATCCCGAATGCTTCCAGGTGAGTCGAAGCGTGCTTTTGCGACACCAAGCGTGGGGTGTGCCCGAGGCTTCATTTTTTGGACAGTGCGCCCCGATTGGTCTTGTCACTTAGCAGCTCAACTTCCACAACAACTGGACATGCAAAATACCAACCTCAAGTTTATAATGGAGTTTTCTCTGAGGCAACGGCAAACCGCATCCCACTCTTCCTTCGACACCCGAATGCCCTGGCTGTCTTCACAAGGGTTGGCAGGCATGCTCGCATGTCGATATCTTGCACGCGTTTTTTTCCTTGCGTCGGCGCGCCTGCATGATTGCAACTGCTAGCCAGGCAGATGCAGGAGTTTGTGCGGGGCACTGGTTCTGCTTGACTCACACAAATGCTATGCATATTGATGGAAAGGTTCGCCTCCCGGATTTATCGGCGAGGGCACTGTAAAGCATGCTGCATCTTCATGGCCTTGGGTGTTGGCCGGAGCTCCCCTGTAACCTGGTGCAGCTTCGCAGCGTTTGGTCTCATGAAGGCGAGCAACAAAACTACCATGATTGCAGCTCCCGCCTTCTCGGTGTAGAACTTTCGAATGTCAACACCTCATGTGGACTCAACTTCTTCCGTCACAGAGACATCCATGAGAAGCCTATCGCACGAAGGAGGCCATACTTCCATCTGCTGCCTTGCTCGGAAAAGCTGGAAGGCAGAGCTGTAAGAATACGATTCCAGCAAGTGGCATGCTAAGAATGCTTTCGACCTGTCAGCGAGCCCTGCGACTTCAGGTGTAGATCTACGTAATCCAAGAGCGCGCATTTGCTGGATGTCTCCCCCCAAGCCGACTTTTGCTCAAAGTAGACATGTGGCCGTGTTCGTTCTTGAACGCGGAGATGGAGACTCTGACCTTGGGGGTCTGGAAGGTACATGGCAAGAGCTGCAACTCAGAAGCAGTCCTAGCCTTACGTGTGGTCTATACTGCTGTGGAGTCAATCATGCAGGAAAATCAGAAGTCGAAAGTTTACTTTACCACTCCTTACCAGCTTTTGACACTTGGTAAGACGTAAATACAGGACAAGCAAAGCGAACGGGACGAAGCCGACAATCCTTCGGAAGTCTGGCGGCTCTCTCTCAGGCGCCGCGCGAGTGGAGGACAGTTTCATAAGTCCAAACCCGTAAGATCATGCGCAGATCAGAAGCCTTTGAGCAACCAGACCCCTAAGCGGAGACCAAGAGAAGCTGAATGAACAATGTTCCCGTATACTGCTTCCGTCCCCTTTCTTTGACTGGCGCGGCAAACTGTCATCTCATTCACATCGAGGGGCATCGTCTACCAGCTCAAAGACCTGCCACGCATGGCTTCATGACTGTGCATTGTTGAGAATCAGCATTCATCTTCAGTTATTTCGGGGTACCAGGTCTTACGAATGCTTTGTTGATGGCGCAGGGGATTAGTCTACAGTCCTGTTCTGGTTATCGTCCAGAATCTGGTACCAATTTGCAACAAGGCCTTGGTTTGTAAAATTTTGCCTCCCGCTCAGCAAGGACGATGCAACGCCCCTTCGGTGTCAAGGGTCTTTGGTGGACTGTCGAGTGCCCTCAGCCTATACACACTCTGAGCCCAAGCTCAGACCCCTGACCTAGCAAGGCTTACATAGCCCTGAACCGCACTTGGGCTTCAGGAATGAAGTTCAGGCACGCGTCGCCAACTGAGTGACACTTCGGTATCTTCGCATGGATACATGTCAACATATAGAATAAACATTCCTAGCCTCAAGTCCTGAACCGCAAGGACCTTCAGGGCCTACTTCCCGCTAGATGCTGATTCCTGTCCGCAATCCCACACGGCAACAACCACCTTGCGAACGGAGATCGCATCTGCGCTTGCCGAAGACCAACTCCAATGCTGTGCGGGGAGACTTTTTTGAAGCATGCCCCAAACTGCAATCGTCGCTTGGGGTCGCTGAAAGTCGCATCATGGCATCGAGGACAGGGCAACAAATGTCGGAGAGACAAGATGGCAACGTCGCCCCGAGTAAAATCCGGACAGCCTAAGACACACTAACAAAAAGAAGGTCACAGACAAGGCGACGAACGTCAGACAGGTTCGAAATATGAGAGGCGTGCTACAAATGGCAAACATGTTCGAGCGGTACAGTAGCAGCAGTCCCCTTCCAAAGATGAGAGCAGATTACCGGAGACTTGCGAGACAAAGACAAGATCCTCACAAGCCCAACACCTTGGCGACATTGACATTGTGTCTCAAGTTAGGCAAGTTTCACGATTCAGGGAAGCGTGATCTGAAAGCCTGAACTCACTGCGGTGCGTGGTAAACGGCCAGGCATGCCCTCTCACCGCTGGGGCTTGTCTGCGCAGCCGAGCGCTTCGCAGGTGCTTTGGCCTTGTTCTTGGTGGTGCAGATCCGGTGCTTAGCAACTGAATGCAAAAGCCTTGTTTGCATAAGCGGGGGCGAAATAGAACGAGGCCATCGCGGCAGGCTTTGCGACCGGTTGGCTTGCAGGGCCAGCTGGCGCAGCTCCGCCCGTCCTGATCCCAACGGTTTTAAGTCTCACGTGACTTGGAGAGAGAGGCCTGGATTAGGTGTTGCTACCGCGGCCTAACATGACAAGATAATTGAAACTTGCCTTGTTAATCTTTCGAAAGTTTGAGACTTAACACTTGCTGCCTCTGCATGCAATTGGCTACGCTTCAATGTCACAGCTGGATTACCGTGACACTTGACTTTCTTTATCGGCTCCATGGCAACAAATCTCAGAGGTTTGAGACAATGGGACAGTGACCAATGCACGAGAAGGCTCCAGCACGTTCCTCAGTATGGACTGGGAAAGACGGAGAGCATAGGTAAAGATATGGACAAACTGTGGACTGTGTGGACTCGGTGTATTATGTGTAGAGCATGCTCGACTTGCAAGGCAATGCCAGCAAGAGAAATCGCTTCCTCTGCAATTTAAAGCCTAAACCCTAATCCCCTAAACCCTAAACCCCGAACAGCACAGGCGTTGCATGTGTCTAAGCCTTTTGCAGCAGGCTTGCGACTTCGCCTGGAAGTTGGACCCTGGAAGCCCTTCACAGCACTAGACACACCCTAAACCCGAAGCATCCTTCTTGAAGCTCTGAGGCTTTCGCTTGTCTTCGACGCTCTTGACTTTGTCGGAGCTTTGGAGATCTGCAATGCATCGCTTCTCTTCAGGAGAGATGAAGGTTCGTGAGAGGCGAGGCTCTGGCACTGCCCTTCCTGAGTACGACATATTTCAAAGTGACGTTCCACCCCTTTCATGGCGGCTGAACGCGGAGGTTCATGGGTAGCAAAACATGGAGTTATGCCCCCTAGAAAAGGTTCCAACTATACTTACCCGACTTCTGTCACTTATGGAACCACTTAAAACTACCAAACCGAGGCAGTCGGGCCTTCGATGATGGCGGCCTTGCAAAGGCGAACAAAAAGGCATGGACATCTACAGCTTAGTCAAAATCCGACCCCTGGGAATGCATTGCGATCTGGTCAACTGCAGGAGTGTTAGCACGATCATGCCGGGGATATTCGAGACATGGACTTGGCGCAGCACCTGCCTTCTTGCTACCAGGAAAAAGCCACGACTTCAGTCCACCATTCCACTTGCCGCCCTTCTCCTTCAACAAGTCCTGTCTGCTGTGCCATACGGAAAGTCAGGCACTCTTGCAACAACTCAAAGTCATGTCATGTCAATCCTTGCTTGTACACGGCTTGTCGATCTAGCATGCCACATTCAATCAATCCGTTTTTTCTAGTCTGCTTCCTACACCACGGACTCTGAATTTGATGCACCGTCATTGTGATCTCACGATGGGTTCTTGAGGAGGTGTAGGCATGCAGTAAAGCTCGTGCACAACTAGACTATACTATACTGCAGTCCTTGATTGACATGGTGTCACCTTTGACCAGCACCGCCTGTGCGCAAAATATGTTTGCAGTTGGTGATTTAGATCTGTTTGTCGTGCTTGCTCAACCAGCTCTGGAAACAGTTCGTGACATCCATGCCGTGGAGAAACCAATCGAACATACTACGGGTATGCGAAGGACAACTCTAGAGCAGTATGCAGCGCACCTTGCCATGTGCCTCCAACCAAACAGAAGCCATTTCGACTGCCACTGCCCGAGGCGTTGCTAGAACATGTCTTGAAGCATCTGCCCTGCAATGTTGCTGACGTGGTTTGAACAGGTCTTGGCTGGAGAGCCTCTGACCTCTGCTGTGCGTAGAAAGACGGCCCCCTGTTCCAATATATTTTATACTATACGACAGCGATTTGCGAGCTGCGTGGTGTAAACATGCGCATGATCCTCGCCATCTAGTGCCCACTTGGGCCGAGGACATCTTCACGCGATAGGACGGGATCCTGTAGTAGAGCACCCAAGAGGACAAAACAGTGGTCTTAGCAACGCAGCTGCTGCCTTGGACCTGAAGGAAGAGCAAACCTTCCTGACACTGGAACAAGCGGCATTATAACCATAGTAATGTAATGATGCAGGCCATTACTGTCAGCCTAAACCTTAAGCACTAGAAGCATGTTGAAGAAGGATCCTGTCGTCTGTACTGCATCTTTTTCGGCGCTCGGCTGTAGCTCCTCTCCGGATCTACAGGCAACTAACCTTCAATACACCTTGACCAGTATCACCCAGGCCGGTTACATATAGAACACTCATACACGTAAGGGTTCCAGAATGTTCCAGGCATTTTGATCCCAGGCTTGTGACAGCTTGTCGGCTCTTCCGACCCTCGCCCGCTCACAGCGTTGCGATGTAGGGTTCCACCATCACCTCCACAAACTCTGGCGAAGCTGACACAGTCACCTGTGCTTTGCGCATGATCCAAGACCACGCCGCCGAAAGGCTGAAACGTGCTGCAGTAACTGCAGCGAGCTCACTCAGCTGCCTCCGACGAGGCATTGGAAATTGCGAAAGCGATTTGGACACGAAGGCGCTGGGGTTTCGCACCTGCAGGGCTTGGCGACATGCAACAATCTGCAAGGTCCACAACACAGTACTCATGACTGCATCGCGAGACAGATGCTCTACCCATGGCCAATGGCTGCAACGTGGGGATTCAGCATGTGATTGCATGTGTGTATGTGAGCGCAATGTACTGTCATGAAGTGCAATGAAATGCAAGGTATTGTGCTGCACTGCAACGTACTGTGAGTGTAAGGTAAGTAAACGCATGCATGTATGTATGTATGTATGTATGTATGTATGTATGTATGTATGTATGTATGTATGTAGTAGGCTCTCTGTTGCTGTTTCATTCCGGCGTTTGGTCGCCAGACGCAGGTTCAGGACGGGGGCTGCGGGATGCTGAGAGGCCTCCTACACTCATGTCTGGCACCGTGTGCTCTCCAAGTCATTCTCCTCACGCCGAACACAACAAATCGCCGCAAGAATCGTACTGCAGTCGGAATCCAGGAGACCCTCCGAATGACCTTGAGCCCTCATTGTACAGGTCTGGTGAGGGACTCTGCCTCCCTGCCCTTGAGCTCAAGCTCTTCCATGACTTCCGCAGCCCGGGCCTTGTCTGCATGACTTCTGCATGGGTTCACTGTTACTGCTATTGCGCTTATTCAGCTCATACCACAGGGTTTTTTTGTTACCTGAATGTTACGGATGTATCCATATTATTCGTGCTGTCACAACTTGTGCTCTTCCAAAAAATGCCAGTGCTGTGCTTCGTCGAAACCGCAAGGTTCCCTTCCAGACTTGCCTGACGGTCTGGCCAAGCTCCAACCAAAGTACCGAGGGTCAAGCTGGATCTGCCGCGCGCAAGAGCCTGCAACCGAACATACTTGTGGAGATCCATACTTCGCAAGTTCCTGAGCCTCTAGTCACGGTAGAAGGGCAGTATAGTAACATGTTGCATGGTGTGGCTGCAATGTGTGAGGCCGGGGCCTCAAGGCGTCATCATCCTGTTGCAGCAGGTTGGAGAAGCTGTCTTTGCAGATCTGGATGCTTCCAGCGTCCCCTAAATGCCCTTTTGCACCTTCTGTTCTTTAATCTGTCCTGACTAATGACCCTGTGGTGCTCAGCTGCTCACGAGTCCGGCTTGAGCACCACGTCTCCCGAGATCCGATGCCTGCTGAAGGACGGATACTGGACCACAGATTGTCACAGGGACACGCCTCCGGCATCCTCCCAGTGCGAGCTTCGGGATACAAGCCGTTTCTGTATTGGGTCCTGACTGGGCATGCAGGTCTTTCTTGACAGTTCAATGTTTTTGGCTGTTGCGACTGGCAGGTTGTACATTCATGCTGGCACAATTTTTCACAATGGACTCGACTGCTGCATGCTGGTACATTGTTGCACCAGTTCTCTCCTTGCCATCTTGGCTGGCGGTGGCGCCAGTGCCTTTGCAGGTTGGAGTTGTGCACCAGTGCAGAAGTAGTGTGGAGAAATTTTGAACCATTTGGCCAACACTGGCGAAGCCCCGTTCTCATGGCCAAGGGCCACAACAACCGCTTCACAAAAATCTGAAACCCAAGCTTCCAATGACTGCGCTGGCTAATGGCGCCGAAGCCATCCCGATGCGGAACTACTGCCCAGGTTGGTACAAACTCGAACTTCCGCTGAGCGTTTACAATGCACTAAGTGTGACGACAGTTGAACCACGCCTGCACGAAGTGGCTTGTGGTATTTTTGTAACATCTACAGCAGCCGGGCAAGCGATCATTGGCTCCTAATGCCCTCGGTGGCCAACATCGGGGTTTCCTCGTCGGATTCTCGACGATGAAACGGCCTTCGGAAGATCGGAAACAAATCTTTTGCGTTCAGCAGACGGAGGCATGGTGCCGAAAACTGTCCCGCCCAAATTCCACAGCAAACAATTGCTGGCGCGCCAGGTGCCTTGACCACAAATGCAGATGGATTGTGAATGCCTTGGTGTGGCACGGGTGGCTGCTCTGCAAACCTTCTTGGCAGAATCAACGGCACATTTATGCGTGTATTGGCGTACTTTTATTGTTGCAAATACTGCCGCCGCTTGCACTGCCGCTGCTGCTACGACATGCTACGACTGCTAACTGCTCCTGCGCCTGCTCCTCCTCCTGGGCCTACCCCTGCCCCTACCTACTAATGCTGCTGCTGCTAGTGCTGCTCCTGCTACTCGTGCTACACCTCCAACATGTAGCACTGCGACGACGACGACGATGGCGCTGACGACTCCCACTGCTGCGACAAAGTCGGCGTCGACTGCTATCACCACTACCTCAAAGCAGTGTCACACTCGTAATCATGGGACTAATAGTAAGATGCACGACACAACCGCTCGACTTCGACAACATTATGACATCACACACAGACGCGCAATCACTACCATTCTGATGAGCAATGGTTGTACTGGCAGCTGTAGCAATAAGGGTCGTCATCGCTACCGCCAGCCTCCTGCCTAGAGGGCCTAGACAGCACGAGGATTACGCGGCACCGGCTTCTGGCTCTGAGTGCACATGGTGACACTTGAGACAAGACAGCCATCATTGACAGAAGCTATACTAAACTGAGGAGGAGGCCCATATGAGCCATGTCTTCAAGGATCTCTTCGGCTCGATCCAGTTCCGCCTCCAAACTATCTCGTCGGGGCTGGAGAGAAGTATGTACGGGGGCGACGGACCTATGTGTCGCGCGTTGTCAAGTCTGCAGGGCTCGCAATTTGAGACCGGCGGGGTATGTCCGATATATCGCTGCACTGAGCGTGGTGCACTGCCATTCTATCCTCTATGTTTTTTGGCCAATCCACTCGAGGACCTTATAGACTTATAGGATTCGAGAATGTTTGAGATGAAGCTTTTGGGCTTGATGGTTTAGATGAGTCTCAATCCGGCTCGCTATCTGCACTCCGCAAGAGCCGCCGCCAAACTACCAAAATGAAGTAGCCGTTGCTCAGTAAATTCGTACTACAGGAGTATATGGATGGCCGAAAACATGTAGAAACAATGAATGTGAAACACATCTTACCACGTACTCTTGTCTCCACTGCCATCATCAACACCACGATCGTCAAGCCAATATCGTCGTCATTGTGTGAGTCATGCTCTCGTCCTCTATCCTGGTGATATGAGGGTTTCCCAAAATAGGGGACCCTTATATAGTACCCTAAATAGTAGGATCCTTATTATAAGGACCCCGAAATAAGGTACCCCTGATTTCCGGAAACTCCCATATGGCTGCTGTGATGAGGCCTCCCGGAGTCTCGCCACGGCAGCCTGTGAAGTGCTACAGCCGGGTCGGGCTAACTACCGCGTCTCACCTTCGGCCTTTCAAGGTTCGGCATTTCATTCCACTTATAGGTTAACGAAAGTAGTTCATAGATCTAAGTCTTGCGATGTTTGGCTGACCTCGCTCCTTCGGAGTGACTAGCACTCGGTGGTCACTTGGGCAGTACAAACAGCAAGGTGCTGCTGGGAGCAAAAGCAGAGCCCAGCAAAAGCAGTGGACAAGACATCGTGGGAAGGAACGTCGGAGTTGCAGAACGGAAGTATGCATGGCAAAAACAGCGTCATGCAGCATCAGTCGGAGAGTTGTCGGCGAATTTCCAAGAGGCCCTTCTTGCAACCTTTGAAACCCAAAACCCGAAATAAATGTAATTCTAATGGCCTCATCCAAGCCAGCACTGACTTGGGGGTACCGGGCGAGCAGAAGCTCCTGGTGCCAGGGCCAAGGGCAAAAGACCTCCAAACTGGATCTTCAGCTGCAGCCTACTGTCGTTACAAGTGCATGTATCTTAAGCTTTCAGAAGTCCAGCTCATCGTGCACGTCACCCCTCTGCTGGGGATGATCCAGATGTATGTCGCCCCGCTGCTGAGGATGATCCTTGCAGAACGCTTGCACAAGTCTTACAGTCGGGGCTGCAGCATTCCAACGAATTTCTGCACGACGTCTGCGACGACTTTCTGAAAAGAGTAGGCCGTACAAATGAATGTAGCTGAGGATAGGGCTGATATCGCCCTCATCACAAAGGCAGACGGGTTACGCACCTTAAAGAGACTCCAGCAACTATGCCTGCCCCTGCAACTCTGATTCCAGCCACAGCAAGGCACTTTCGAAAAAGAACCAGCAGCACTCGAGCCGAGGGCATCAGTTCGCTTCGCGACCTCCTCGATGATCTCAACCGCCTCAGCCGTACGACGGTCAGCACTCACAAGCAGAATGTCGAGATTTCGTGCTCCTTTGATGCCGCATCTTCGCAGAGCGTGGACCTGCTGATACTCTTTGACGCATTGACCAACTCCTCAGCACCGGTATTCGATTCCAGGTTCGCCGTCTCCGTTTTGTTTCAGGCCACAAGCCACCGAGCAGTGGCGATCGCGTCCCAGTGCTGCGCACTGGCACAGCGCAACAACCCACAGCAGCTTGAAAAAGGAGCTTGCAGCTGCTTCAACCCAACACCTAGGCGTAGCATGCGGGCACCAACCACACCATCGGAGGGCAAACGGTTTGGGGCCTTGTCCGAAGGCAAGACTCGCTCGAGCAGGCACGGATTCCTCGTTTCAGGGTTTCGGGCTCAGGACGTGATACATACTCTTCAAGTGATCCTGCACAATACTGCTATCACCGCCATTTCTGTCGCTGCCCCAGGGGATGATGCGTCCATCGTCAAGAAAGGCAGCAACAGCACCCCTTGTGGCGGCTTGGATCTGCTGCACATTCTTCAGCTGATCCTGCACAGCGCTAATGTCACCACCACGGTCCGGACTCCCCCAAGTCACGACGCTTCCATCGCACAGAATGGCAGCAAAAGCTTGGGAAGAGGCTTGGATCTCCTGCACATTCCTCAGTATGACCTGCACAGAACCACTGTCACCACCAGAGTCAGCAAAAGTCATCCTCGTGGCTTGGATTTGCTGCACATTCTTCAGTTGACCCTGCACACCGCGACTGTCACCACCTTGCCCAGCATGACTCCAGGTGACGACCGATCGATCGCCGAGAATGGCAGCAAACAGAGTTCTTGTGGCTTGGGCCTGCTGCATATTGTTTAGCTGATCCTGAACAGCACTGCTGTCACCACCGTGATGAATTCTTCCCCAGCTCACGAGGGAACCATCACCAAGAACGGCAGCAAAAGCGCTGTGAGTGTATTGAATCTGCTGCACATTCCTCAGCTGATGCTGCAAAGCACTGCTGTCACCACCATAGTCATAGTCAGCACCAGCCCAGGTCACCACGGATCCATCGACCAGAATGGCAGCAAAAGCGCCATGCATGGCCTGGATCTGCTGCACATTCTGAAGTTTATCCTGCACAGCACTACGGTCACCACCACGGCCAGCATCACCCCAGGTCACGACAGATCAGTCTCCCCGAATGGCCGCAAAAGCGCTGTCACTGGCTTGGATCCGCTGGACGTTCTTCAGCCGATCCTGAACAGCACTACTGTCACCACCACAGGCAGTATTACCCGAAGTCACCACCGTTCCATCACCAAGAATTGCAGCAAAAGCAAGCTCACCCGCTGCAATGTGCTGCACATTTTTCAGCTGGTGTTGCACGGCACTGCTGTCACCACCGTAGCCAGGACGACCCCAGGTCACGACGGATCCGCCGCCAAGAATGGCGGCAAAAGCGTACGCACAGGCTTGAATCTGCCGTACATCCGCAACACCACTGCCACCACCAGAGGGAGCATCACCCCAGGTCAAGACTGTCCCATCGCCAAAACCGGTGGCAAAAGTCAAAGCAGCACCACACACCTGAACTTGGCCGATGTGCAGGGCTAGCGAGTCGCCATTCTTCAAACTCAAATCCTTGATTGGTGCATGTGCATCAAGAACGCTCCCGAACGAGTCCACCAGCCGCCCTCTTCCGACTCCGAGGGCGGTCTGTGCCCGACGGCTTTGCAGGCACCGTTCTTGTAGCAAGAGGATGCCGGCAGGAAGGTGGTTGGGAGCGCAGCATTCCCAACACCAAACACTGCTTTCTGCCTCAATGAACCGTTGGGTTCGCAGACCGCGAGCTGAACCGCGGAAGCCGCAAGGAGAGAGACCGTCAGCAGGTCCGCTGCAGGCCCCAGACCGCACAAGCTGCGCTCCCAATAGTTACGAGTGTGCTGCCCATTCGGGCAGCACACTCGCAACTATTGGGAGCGCAGCGTGTGTGGTCTGGTCCATGAGGCTGAACCTGCAGTTATGATTGCAGCCTGCACGGATGCGGTGGGATACTCCTTGGGCGAAACCAGCATCATACCTGGGCCCATTCAACAAGGTCGGCCAAAATTCAGCCGCAAGATCCCTCCTGGTCTTCTGCAACCAGAGCATGATTGTTCGGCTCCCAACAGACCAGGAGGGATCTGGTGGCTGAATTTTGGCTGGCGTTGATTGGCCGCTTTCGAAAGGCGACGAAAAGGCAGGAGACCCTCGCGGAGAGGAGACAGAAGTGGCGCAGGAACAATCGGTGTGGGAGAAGGGAAAGCGGGTTCCAGGTGCCCAAACTGTGCCGACATCTTCATCAAAGTGAGCTGCACGGTGACGGTCTTGCCACTCAGCAGCCGAACTTCCACATCAATCGACATGGTGTCGCCCGCTCCATCCGGCAACGTCGGGGCTTCCAGGTTGACTGCGGCTACGACCGATCGGCGTTGCCGGGGTTGGCAACACAGGAGTGGCGGTAGTGGTCGCCGCAGCGCTGCTAACATGCGGGTCACCGGTTACTAAAGTCTAAAGGCAACCAGGCCTGGAAATGTCACTGGTATTCATAAAGAGTACTACACTACAGCAGCTACTTGAAGTAGTACCATTAATGCTTCCATGGCGTAAGACTCCTCTTTATGATGATTACTAGTAGACATGTTCGTCAGTCTGCGGTGTTGCTTTTACTATAGTACTACTGCCTTAAGGGTTTGTTTCCCTACCTTAAGCGGGTTTAGGGTCGTCGCGTTGTGCAGTAACACCGCAACCGTCACAGCAAGTAGCCATACTCCCCTCGTTGCCATCAAATCAAAATATAGGGCTTTTAAAGATTAGCGTAGGGTGTTGGGGGACATAGTCTAGTAATCTTTCATGGGGCCGTAAACAGATATTACTACTATTTGTTCAGACATCCACATCATGTCTTCTTTTACTAGTGCCTACACATGCCTATGTAAACCAAAGACATTTCCGTGAGATGCCAAGGCTATGTTCTGTTGAGTTAAACTTCGGGTTTAGGGTGACCTTGATGTTCCGGACCAGGGATTTAAGGTCCCTGATACTAAGGGGCGCGAGCTCCCCAATCAGATCCCGTGTGGGCGCAGCATGACGTAGCACGACCTCGCAGCCCTTGCCAAACTGAGCACCGAACTCGAGATGGATCCACTGTCTCCAACCTTCGCCTGCCGATCTGTCGAGCCGTACAGGTCGTCCTGACACACCCTCCCTCAGCCTCGCATCAGCATCTAGCTCTTCTGCCAAACGCCGATGCCGTGCCAGCGCCTTACCAACGACAGAAGTCGTGCACAACTCACTTGACAAAGCAGCTTCAACTAGCCCTCGCCGGCCCTATGTCATGCCAACGATGTAGACTTTCATCATGCTTCGTTGGCACTGGCTGCATCGGCTACTGCACAATGGGGTGCCTGGTCCACCACGGAGTGCCTCACCGGCGACCTGATTGCTCCACGACATTTTTCGAACTCTTCTTATGGCTCGCTCAGAAAACCAAAAAGAAAGAGTCACAGAATGTCGCGGCCACCAACCCCTCGGAACCAAGCCTGATCCCGCCCCTATCAGCTCTGCGCGGCGCACCTCTCTCGCTTGTTTCCGGACATTTTGGATTGTCCGTGGCTGAACCGACAGACTTTTCAGTACGAGGCAGCAAAGTCACCGGCGAAGGCCAGGAAGACTTGCAGGATTGGAGCTAAAAATGATTTAAAGCAGGCACTTCTCAAGTGGTTCGCACTGAGCCCGGGAGTTCAGGGCGAAAAAATCAGGCTCACAGCCTCGAAGTGCCAACACAGCGGCAGCCTCGCCCATAAATATCCGACCCAAGGCACTTTAGGTCATGAGTTGCCCAGCCACGGAAGCTCGGCATTCATCGAGCACCTCCGGTGTCAAACCTCCATGTCTGCAAATTTGCTTCCGACCGGGCTCTCCAGGAACCGCGAGACCAGGATCCTGGCTCTAAAGAGATGGGACCCACGAGTAGGGCAAAGGCTACCCCGTTCTGCGCAGGGGCAGTCTCGGATCGGTTCTCTTCGGGGCTGATACCCTTACTAACGTCTAACGATCTGCTGCCCATAAGCACTCAAGTTTACAGCGGGTACGTGGGAGACTTGTGATCAAAGGCATGTGGGAAGCTGCATACTGTCAAGCTCTGCCAACCTGTTCCGCTTTTTGTGCTGTGCTTTGCAGGCCTCCAGATCAAGAAGATCATGCCCGCACCGAAAGCCGCTGGCACGTCAAGCAGGTCAAGGGACACGCACCTTAGTTGATGCTGACAGTTTTTTGCGGCATTTAAGGCTTTGCATGTATCATGAGCAATGGCGGACCAAGCTGCTTACGGAACTAGTACCGCATTCTCGTGGCCGCTAGTAGTCACCAGTCTGAACTGATTACACGAATCTTTCACATGAGCTGGTCTAAAAGCACTATGCAACCGAGGTGCATCATGGCCATCCAAACGAAAGCCACGGCCTCGACAAAGCAACATTGAGTTAGACATGCCGGAAGACCCGCAGCTCAAGCAGCGCATGTGACTTTGCCGATTCCGCTGTTATCTGGTCAGAGCTCTACGACCTACGACTCTACGAAGGTTGCGGGAAAGCTCCGGTGCAGTGGGGCCCACAGTAAGGACGAAGCTTGTCTCGCACTTGCCCTGGCTAAGTGGCAGGCTGGAACCACAGCAGGGTAGCGCCGGCGCAGCACCGTTTTACCAAGCCTTCATGACACAAATTAAGCTTGAGTCGCAAATGGCTGTTGTTGTCGGTTTTTCAAGCTTTTCATCGGGGCGGCCTGGTCTAAAGTTGAAATAATTTGGGAAGTTGCCATCGCCTGTCCAATAAAAGAAAACGGCAGTTGATCAAGCGTTGCCTGCTTTGGCCGAGCAGCAGTATGCCCAGTGTATAAGCTACAGCCACGAAGGCTGGCAAAGTTACCAGCCAAGCGAGCAACTTCGAAGGTGGCACGATGCCGGAATTGACCTTCAGGATCCGCGTGTAAGATTCTCACGCTACACGAGAAATCCCGACTGACTATCCGTGACTATCCAGCACCCACAAGCAAGAGTCATCTGAGACGATCTCCCATGAGACGATGCTAAATGCTCGGTGTGAGCATGTGCGAGCTGCACCATGCTGTCCGGTCCTTGAAGCCAAGCTCCGGGGAAGACTCTGCAGACTTTGAGAGCGGACCTAAGCTTCGCACCCACAAAGATGCAGAATGCTGAAGAGTTCGCTGCATGCAAGTCATGATGCACAGCCAACCCGGGGTCTTGTTGCGACGAGCGGCCATGTCTGGACATGTTGAGCAAGTGCTCCCTGTCCTCGCTGTTGCTCCAAGGCAAGTCTGCATCCTCCAACTGGCAATACGAAGGAGCATTGCCGTGATGGACGTCTGCAGGACATGTTTCCTTGCGGCTTTTACAGGAAAGCAGGCCCCTCAATTGCTCATGCTACCGGCTTTACAGTGGGAGCATCCGAAGGATTCATTGGAAGCGCGGGGTTCCATCATGCCAGGATTCCCGTGCCAGCTGCTCGAGCTGCTCCCGCGAGACGGTGGTGCTTCGCCCGTTCGTTCTCATCCAGTCATCAGGAGTTTGTGGATTGGTAGTGCCTGCCTGGTCAGGATGAGTCATGTGCAAGCAAGACTTAAGACCACCCGGTCACTCACCCAGCAAATGCAGCTTCAAGGAGCAGCTCCAACTCCTTTGACTACGCAGCACAGGCCTCATGGGGATAGGGGCAATCACGAGGGAATGCGTGATGCAAAAACCTGAGCAGGCAAAAATAGGCTTTCTGTGAGCACTTCCTTGCCAGCCACAGCCTTTTAGAATTGGCTGGGCTTGTACCGTTAGGTAGCAAGAGTTTCACTTTGCAATCCAGCCTGAGGATGTTCTTCAGGGTCCGGCCTGTAAAGTCATAGCTGGTCTCCGTGTATTACATGAGGGTTTCGATAGTCCATCGCTTGATTGAGCCCGGGCAAACATCAAACTCTTGGAAAGATGGAAATCGACGGCCGACGGACAAGCAGAGGCAAACCCAAAAACGAAAAAACACGACACAGTCACCGCCCCCCAGGACTTCCGGAAATCTGAGCAATAATCCGGTAGCTGGAGCCTGGAGCGTGCACTCTGGGTTCATAGCACAAACCTTCTGCAATAGCCGAAATTTCGCGTCTCAGCGCACAGAAAGCCAAACTCAAACCTCCTTTTTGCATCTGGTTTGCAGCGACTCAACCACGACAAGCCTCTCAAGCCATGAACCGGAATGAGAACTCCCTTTCACACCCATGAGCATATCTCTGTTGTCTGAGGTGCTGGGCAAAGAGGCGCCCGTGGAGAGGAACGAGGCCTCCGCTTTGAGCTGCGATGCTGTAGAGGCGCTTGTGCAGCTTGGGGTCGAGGCCTGATGCTGTATATCCGACAGAGACATCTCGATCATGCACAGGCCGGGCCCCAAGTTGAAAAAGAAGCAACATGACACAGTATGGTGCCAACTGTTCCTGAGCTTCTCGCCCGGGTGGGCTTTCGGAAGCCTTCTGGGTCCTACGTACCCACCCGATTCGGAAGCTTGGCGATCCTGTCTTCCGACTTGCGACTTGCGTTATGTCATGTAGGAATCCATTGACGCAGGAAGAGCGTCGACGTCAGCGAGTGTTGATTACATCACAAGCAGGACGACTTTTGCCCCATGCTTGTTGCCCGCCTTTGTCGAAGCTCCTGCTTATCACGTCTGCATACAGACTTGTTCCCCGATCCCTCCTGTTCCGGCCTTTGGCATCCCTGAGACCAGCGACGATCTGCGCCAGCTGACCAGCACTGGCTGCCGGGCCCGCCACCTGCTTGAAGTCTGGGAGGCTTTGACCATCTTGCATTGTGGCTGCAGGGTGCATGCAAACGTCCCAGGTTCAAGACAGGTACAAGGCCAACGACCGACTTTCGACGAACTCGCCAAGCCTACGAATGCCAGGAGATCAGGTGCAGCTCATTTGAAGGACGATCACCGACCCTATGCCGTAGTCTCGGGCTGGAAACATGTAGGACCCTCCGCAGCGGGAAGAACTACAAGCGCAGTTTCTTTTGCAGGTGCGACTGTTGGTCTGTCTGGCCGTGTTGGCCCACGCTAATTTCCCCTTCTGCTTGTTTCCGCCCGGCAGTAGCGAATGTGATGTGCTATAGAACTGGACAAGCACGTAGAACGATGTGCAGGGTTGGCGGAAGCTCAGAAACGAGAGAACAAGAGTAACAAAAGTCGACTAAGTCCGGCAGTGTTCGAATCTCTCCAAGATTCCCTGCCAGACAAATCTCGGGGGTTGCAAACCCCAGTAACCCCAGCTCCCTCCCACCGCTAGCTCCGCTAGCTGGCTTAGGCGAGTGTCACACGGGAGCAGCTAAGCGCACGGCTTAAGTTCTTTGTACAAGACCTATGTATTGGCACATGATGGCAATGAAGATCCAAGGCGGAGGCTAGATGACTTAGCTGAGCCTCTCCACAATTTCTACATACTCTTGCCAGGAACACACATCCCAGAAGGGCTTGCCACTACTTTCTCGGACCCACTTCCGGTGCAAGGCGGAGCAGGTGAAGATTGCAGTCTTGATGTCAGTGATGAGCGACACAGCTGCTTCGATGGCACCCCGTCGAATTTTGAAACCATCTGTGAGGGCGTCGGAGTCCATGGAGTCCGGGACATCGATAACCAAATCGATCTTGCCCGTCTGCAGCATCGTTAGCACGTTCGGCTCTCTTTTGATCAGGGGCTTGTAGACCAGGCTGCAAGAAAGTCCGCCGGTGTTCGTGAGGTACTCGTGCGTGTTCTTCGTGGCAAAGAGGGTGAAGCCCATGTCCTGAAGCTGCTTCGCAGCACCACTTGCCAGGAACTCGGCTTTTGCAGCAGCAGGACCGATGGAAACTAGAATGTTCTTTGTCGGCAGCTTGAAGTTCGCTGCCATCATGCCCTTCAAGAATGCCTCGTAGGCATTGACCCCGAAGCATGCCACCTCGCCGGTGGAAGACATCTCGACACCGAGTCGGGGATCAGAATTTTTCAGGCGGCCGAAGGAGAACATCGGAACCTTGCATGCTACAAAGTCAATGTCCATCGGCTGGATAATTGCAGGATGCACAGGCATCCCTGTCATGATGCGGGTCGCCAGCTCGATGAAGTTCACATTGTAGGTCTTGGAAATGAAAGGCATGGATCTGGATGCCCGAAGGTTGCACTCGATCACCTTCACTTCGTTGTCTTTGCAAATGAACTGGATGTTGAAAGGCCCCGAAATCTTCAGAGCACGGCAGAGCTTCTGCGAGATGCTCTTGACCTTTCGATGGGTCTCAACGAAGAGGCGCTGGGCCGGAAGGAGCAGCGTGGCATCTCCACTGTGGACCCCGGCATTCTCCACATGCTCCGCAATGGCATAGTTCACAAGGTCCCCGGACTTGCCAACGCCATCCATCTCGACCTCCTTCGCCCCAGTGATGTACTTCGAGATTACAACCGGGTGGTCTCGGCTTACCACGGCAGCTGTCTTCAGGAACAAGTCGAGGTCCCCGTCGTTGGTGACCACACGCATAGCAGCACCGGAAAGGACATACGAAGGGCGCACCAGAACCGGGAAGCCTGCCACCTTGCAGAATTGACGGGCTTCCTGCAATGTTGCAAACTGGGACCACTCAGGCTGATCAATGCGCAGGGAGTCGCAAAGCTGGCTGAACTTGTTACGATCCTCGCAAGCATCGATGGCCTCAACAGATGTGCCAAGAATGCGGATTCCACATTTGTGCAATCCCAAAGCCAAGTTGTTCGGGGTCTGGCCACCGACAGAAATCACCACGCCTCGTGGGTCTTCCAGTTCAGCGATGTCCATAACACGCTCGTGACTAAGCTCTTCGAAGTAGAGTCGGTCTGACTCATCGAAATCTGTGGAAACAGTCTCGGGGTTGCAGTTGATAACAATGGCCGTATGACCCAGCGATCGAAGAGTGCGAATGCAGTTTACGCTGCACCAGTCGAACTCAACACTGCTGCCGATCCTGTAAGGCCCACAACCCAGCACGACAATTCTGGAGTCAGCATCAACATCCTTGTTTGCCTTGCTGCTCTGCTGCATCACATCGGAAGAGCTCTGGAAATTGAGTGCAAGTGGTTCTGGAATCGCGTAGCCCGAAATCAGGTCGGTTCCTGGCAGATCGGAGCACTGCTTCGTACTCCCCGCAAGCTGCAGGTCGTGCTCATCTCCACTGTAGGTCACGTAGAGGTAGTTGGTAGTGGCAGGGAACTCTGCCGCCAACGTGTCGATTTGTTTGACGGTAGGGACGATGCCCAACTTCTTGCGCAGGTGCCGGACATGAGCTTCAGACACGGGACCTCCAGAGTAGCGCTGAGAGCCGTGATCAGAGGGCAACAGGTGCGGAGAGATCTCGCTGTCGATGATCTTCTCCGGCGCAGAAATGATCGCAGCGATCTGCTTGTCGGAGAAACCACGGGTCTTAGCCTCCTTCAGGAGCACTGGATTCTGCCGCAATGCATAAAAGTCCAATGACTTCATCGTACCCTTTAGCATGTGCAGGCCGTGCAGCTTCGACAGGAACCAGCGATCAATGTTGGTCAACGTGTGAACCTCTTCCACATTCATCCCATGCTCGAAGGCTTTGGCAATGGCCCACATTCGCACCGGAGTCGGGTTGGCCAGTTCCTTCTTGAGCTCCGCATCAAAGTTTGGACCCGAGGTGGCTAAGCCACGGCGGCCGAGCTCCAACTCGTAACGAATGGGGTCAAATCCCAGGCTTGCATCATCCACCATGCGCAATGCTTTCTGGATGGTCTCCTCGAAGGTGCGCCCAATGGCCATGACCTCTCCTACGCTCTGCATCGCAGAGCCAATGCGGGCATCGACGGTGGAGAACTTCTGCAGGTCCCAGCGCGGCACCTTTGCGACGCAGTAGTCAAGGGAGGGTTCGAAGCATGCAGTCGTACACTTGGTGACGCTGTTCCTCAGCTGGACTAGGTCGTGGCCCAGCGCCAGCTTCGCAGCGACATAAGCCAGCGGATAGCCAGTCGCTTTGGATGCAAGAGCACTACTTCGAGACAGCCGGGCATTGACCTCAATGATGCGGAACTCAGACGTCTTCGTGTCTACGGCATACTGAATGTTGCACTCCCCGACAATTCCAAGGTGCCGAATAACCTTCAACGCGCACTGGCGAAGACGATAGTACTCGGCATTGGTCAGCGTTTGGGAGGGTGCAATGACAATGGACTCGCCGGTGTGGACGCCCATAGGGTCAAAGTTCTCCATGTTACAGACCGTGATGCAGTTGTCGTTCTTGTCCCGCACGACCTCATATTCAAGCTCCTTCCAGCCCTTGAGAGACTTGTCGATGATCACCTGTGGGCTGTTGACCAAAGCCACATTGACCAACCTTCGCAGCTCTTCCTCGTTGTCGGCAAAGCCACTGCCAAGCCCACCCAGAGCATAGGCTGCCCGGACCAACACCGGGTAGCCGATCTCCGTCGCCGCCACGACAGCATCGGCCACACAATCGCAGCAGGCACTCTCGGCGATCTTTTCCCCGCAGGCTTCCACCACCTTGCTGAACAGATCACGGTCCTCGGTCTTCATGATTGCCTCAATCTGGGTGCCCAGTACCTTGACATTGTACTTCTCAAAGACCCCCCGCTCGTGCAGCTTCACGGCACAGTTGAGAGCCGTTTGACCCCCAAATGCTGCAAAAATCCCGTCTGGCTTCTCACGCTCGATCACTTTGATGACAAAGTCAGGCGTTACAGGAAGAAAGTAAACCCTGTCTGCCATGCCAGCTGATGTCTGAACTGTAGCGATGTTCGGGTTGATGAGGATGGACATGATACCGGCCTCTTTCAAGGCTTTGATGGCCTGGCTGCCAGAGTAGTCAAACTCACCTGCCTGACCAATGGTGAGGCCACCAGATCCCAACACCAGCACCTTCCTGTAGACCGTCGGAATGGAGTAAGGCATCGTGGTTACAGGGGAAGCGGTAGGCTCAGCGATGAACTGCAGGAAGTAGTCAAACAGAAAGTCAGTGTCGGTAGGCCCGCCGCATGCCTCCGGATGGAACTGCACCGAGAACCATGGCCTGGAGGAGTGGATGATGCCTTCGTTTGTGCCGTCGTTGGCGTTCATCATCAGCGGCACCCAGTTCTCTGGCAAGCTGGAGCTGTCAACGGCATACCCATGATTCTGGGCTGTGATGTAGCACTTCTGCGTGCGCAGATCCACGACTGGCTGGTTCATTCCGCGGTTCCCGAACTTCATCTTGTAGGTGGATGCTCCCGCGGCCAAGGCCAGAATCTGATTCCTCAGCTTTGCTTACTGCATCACCCCTACCTGCTCCAGTACCCTATAGAACCAGACAACCCCCCATCAAGTCCACAAGTGAATTCATGAACTAAATCACTGCGGATAAGATTCCCGAGGCAGATTCCGAAGATGGGTGTCTTTGGCCGCTCCTTCATGATGGTCTTCACATGCTCCACAGTTCTGGCACACTGGGTGGGATCTCCTGGACCGTTGCTTAGAAAGAGGCCATCGAAGCTGTCCTGTGTGAAATCGTAATCCCACGGCACCACGGTGACTCGAAGCCCGAGCTTGACGAGGCAGCGGATGATGTTGTTCTTCATACCACAATCCACGGCCAGGACATGCACATCTCGGTTCAAACGAGGATTTGGCTGTGAAGGCGCAAAGACCTCTTTTTGTGTTCTTGACACCTCTGCCACAAGATTCCTTTTGTTTGGATCGTCCACAGGAAGATGGGAACTCGGCGTGCTTCCCTGCACGATAAGCTTTCCCAACATGGAACCAGTCTCTCGAATCTGCTTGGTCACGAGTCGAGTGTCCACAGCATAGATGCCTGGAACTCCTTGCGACTCGAGCCACTGTCCCAACGTCCTTACGCAGCTGTAATGCGAAGGCTCGTAGGAGTAGTCGGAAATCACGACTCCCTTCAGATGGATCTTGTGACTTTCGAACCACTTGGGAAGTCCAAACTCATCCTTCTCATCAGAGGGCACGCCGTAGTTCCCAACCAGTGGATACGTGATGACCAGGATCTGTCCAGCATAGGACGGATCCGTCAAGGACTCCGGGTATGCCACCATCCCTGTGTTGAAGACAACTTCACCGGACACCGAGACCGGAGCGCCGAAGGAGTAGCCCTTGAGAACCGTGCCGTCGACCAGCTCTAGGTTGCACTTCCTCCGTGCATTCAGCCACCGAAGGAAGTCCATGGGTTGACCCGATGTCGGCTTCGCATCCATGGCCTCGACACCCTCGAAGCCCACAAAATCCCAACCCATCTTCTCCGGACTTTCAGGCCAATCGCACATACAGCACAGACTACAGGGAGCTTGTGAGAGCCAGAAGTTCTTCAGCCAGAATGGCTGCAAAGTAGACGTGTTTAGGATTCGTGCATGGTATTTGCTAGACATGCGGTGGCATTATCGCACTGTGTATGCTGAGCTACTTCTACAGTAGCGTTTGCACCAGTATAGGCTTGCAGAAGTTGCATTGAGTGCTGAAGGGCTTCGCAACAGGTTGAGGATGCATGTCAAATACTTGTGCTGTACTGTTGATGATATAAATCCTGCATTACCTTAAGGACCCTTAACTACGGGAATTATGGTATATTCCTTATTATGGGCAATGCAGGATTTATACCATCAGCCGTAGTATGCTGTAGTTTGTCTGTAGAGCTGTAGAGTCACTACACGACATGACAAGCTAGACCCTACGCACAAGAAGAGTCAGCAAGTGCCTGCTGCTCGATGGCACTCATCATGTCTCCGCAAACGCTGCGGCAGCAAATCGCGTACAGACCATCCGTTCGCATGCAGTTGTTGTAGCCTCGGCTGCGGAGCTCTGGAGCAGCTGGCACAAATAATTCATCTTGGGCCAGTGCTTGTGATGTAGTTCGCCAAGATGACGTGTGGCCGGTGGGGATCGGACTCGTCCAGGACTCCCAAATCTCCTTCCAAGGCAGCAGGATATTGATACACTATCCTGCTAGTAACTCACGACGGTGCGTGCATTCAGAACCACCACAAAAGCACTCGATGCCGCTGGATTGCTCAGGTAGTCTGGGCTCTCAGAGAAATTCCAGTGCCGGTACGCGATGCTCCCATAGAAGTCTGTCAAGGGTATGCGGCCTCGGGTCAAGCGGCCAAGCGGAACACCGTCTTCGCATCATGGAAGCAAAGAAACAGTCGTAGGACTACTTGGAGCCACCACCGAACAGCGAGCAGAGGGCATGACACTTTTAATTACGCCTCTGCTTGCGCGGAAGGGTTACAGTTGGCCCGAGGGCATTGGCGGACTGTAGTGCAATGCTGAAAACCCGATGCAAGTGCAACATGTACTGATCCCGAGCAGAATCCCGTATGCGCTGGAGCCACCATACAGCTTGCACCCCCGTCCCCATTATCCATGTCGGCATCATTGCTTGAAGGTGTGGATCGTGCAAGTAGGAAGACTTGTTTATTGAAAAACATGATCAACCATCTTCACAACTTCTACGGCCTGTAATGCAGAAACGTGGTCGTCAGGAATGAAGACTCCGAAACTTGGGTAACTTTCGGACTTGGGGACAGCGGTTTCCGCATTTCAGGCTTTGGAAGGCTTCGGAATTCGTGCATTGCTGGGAACATATATGAAAAATACTTATCTTTGCATAATAAATCATACAAGCATGCACATGTATATAGATGTGATTATATACGTGGGGGTATGTAAGTCTGTACGCAGGTATGTATGTATATATATATATGTATATATGTATATATGTATATATATATATACACATGTAGACACAGAGATAGACTGCACACATTTATGACCGCAGTCATATCTGTGAGAAACTTCGATGCCCAGCTTCCGGGCTTGCGGCTTCCTCCCTCCATGGACACGAGCCTTGCCTCGATACACTTGTGAACGACAGAGTTGACATTGCAAAAAGCATCAAACTAATCTTGATATACAAACGGTTCGATGTCCAGAGAGACATGGGACCTAGGACCGATACGAAATCCATGGGCCGACTGCGAGCACATGCACGCTGCAGGATCCCTGTGTGCCACAGTGAGGCTTCATGCCCCAACTCCCGTTCCCACAAACGGCTGTTCTGGGACGTATGCCTACTTTGACCCGGAGCTACGGAGATCTATGGAGTCTTCCCGGGCGATGCCTTGAGATCGGAGCATTCCTGCGAAGATTTGCGAAGCATAAGCAGAAGGGGTTGAAGGGTGCACAGGATCATGTTACAAGCGTGCTCGACTAGCTTATCCTTATACCGATATCGTGATCGGTAAGCTGACTTTACTTGTGCAGAAGCTCTCCTTGTCGTTGAAGCTCGGGAACTCCAGCCCAAACGCCTCTGCGACTTTGCTGATTGACGAGAAGTCATAGACCTTGCCCTGTTTCACCAGAATCCTGCGCAGGTTTCAGGCGTCACTCGAAAATGGCTTTTGGGCGGGCTGGGATCGGTAGAGTCCGACAAGTCGCACAACCTACTGCCTACTTAATCCCTGTTGACACGACTTAGCCGAATCGGCAAGCCAGTTTGGAAGTTCCGTGCCTGTCTTCCAAATGCCGTAGCCACCTCAGAGCCTCGCCGTGCTCCACTGTGCGATGCAGTCTGCCTACGCGCTTTCGATTCTTGGCCGGCTCTGCCAGGGTGAGGTTCTGCGCGGTCAAAACCACTATCAGGTACATGTCCTCAGTCTTTACAAATCGCATGACCATGCTTCTGCACGGGTTGCTCAAAGAAACACGCACGCACAAGCTCAGCAGAGCTGAGTGCTGGGCGACTGCCATATCGGCATCTGCGCGACTCAGCGGACCATTCCTTGCTGCACCAGCTCAGTTGCGTACTTCATGCCCCATCCACTTGATTAGTCTGTCTTTGTTTGATGCAAGAGAGAAATACGAGTTCGGCTTATCTTCCTGGACCGGTGTCAGGGGAAGGTCCAGCGACTCAAAGACCTTTGCCATCTGCTTCCGGGACTCCTCTGAATTCAGCAAGAGACGTCCATCCAACCTCACCCTTGAATGGAACATCCTAGTTACACTCCGTGCTTCTCTTAGCAGCGACACCATTAAACCAAATTTGCCGGAGCCGAAGCTGACGTAATAACCAAAGCGACTCCGCCTTTGGCAACTGCAACTGGAAGCCAAGCTACAATTTCAAAAACTTCCTCGGAGGTTTCCGAAATGGGGCGATAGGAAGGGGTTAAGCAACCCTCCCAACAATCACGCATCCACAGTAACGAGAACTCCTGCCTGTTGCACAAGATCTTCAATGACGGCGGTCATCTCAACCAAATCGTCCAAGGATGCACCTCGGGAGGAAGAAGTCAAGGGATGAGTTTGGCCGGACTTTTTCGATTGGGCCTTCGCTCTGCTTGGCCTCTTCGAAGCGCTGCTGCAGGTACGACGGAACCCAACTCTCCCAAACCTGAGCTGCGCGCATCCGGACCTTCAGATAGCGCGTGCGTCCTAAACCTCGCGCAGAGCTCCAACTTTACGGTTTGGTTTGGACCGAGGCTCTTTGCGGAGCCGCTCCGGCTGTGTCTGCCAAATGCCTCCAAGTCACAGACAGCCTAGACTAGTATAGATGTTTGCTAGACGTCTAGAGTCTAGAGATGTCTAGATGCCGGCGGACATTAAAGGGTCCAAGACTTCTCGGGCTTTGAAGGATCGAAGATCGCAAGAAGCACTCTAGAATCGGCCTTCGGGTTCGAGGCCCTTGACCAGCCAGCTACGCTCGTGGAGGAAGAAGCGGAAGAGTGCATATTTGGCTGCTTGGTGGCTGAGGCCACCATTCGGCGTCTTCGGGAGGGTCCGGAAAATCGGCTCCAAGTTGACACGAAGGTGCCGAAGTCGCGGGGTGGTCTTCGGATCATGGGTCATCTGCCGTGCCAAGAGGTTGTCCACATCTGTCCGGTTGAAGTACTGAACATCCAGGAATCTGGCATGGGAAGCGCCACGAATGGTCCCTTCGGCTGAGCCACGCGCCGCTGCTAAGTAGAGAGCCAGGTGAACTCCCACCACTGCCCTCGACATTCTGGCTCACCATGGAGACAAGTTGGCAAACATGTGGGTCACATGACCAGCTGACAGCGGCGGGTTCACGAATAAAACACGTGCTACCTAACTAATTGCCTTGTGCAGTAGCCCATGACTTTGTGGGAAGGAAGCCAATGTGCTTCACCATTCTTTAACTCCGGGAACTGTGTAGAGACCATCCTGAGGCACCGGCCTTGATCGATGGGCCTGCAGTGCAGAATCCTAAAACTGCAGTGATGCATGGCCGTCGAGGTGCCTGGCTTTACAAAGATACACGTTCTTCCTGTATGCTTTCGACTAGCTTGCTTTCCCGAAAGGTCCAGACCCGGAAGTCTATGACGAGCTCGGTAGGAGTTTGAGGCCTGCTGCCGGGCTGGCGGCCACGGCCTCGACAGGCTAGACTGGCATGGACTTAGGTGAAATCAGGGCTGACACAAAGCAGCTAGTTGAAGTAACTCGGTGTGACTGCCGAAAATCATTTACCGGCAACTTTGCAGACTCCTCCTCCCCTGTTCCTGATCACCATCACGTCGTCACGACTATGTTAATAGACATCGATATGTTGTGGGCGGCAGGAGACAGCTGTAGCGGTAGCTATGGCGGTGAAGGGAGCCGTGGCAGCAGTAGCGATAGCTTGAGGGAGTAGTAGCAGTAGCAGTACTAGTGCTAGTACTACTCGTACTAGTAGAAGTGAAAGTAGAAGTAGGAGTAGAAGTAGCAGCAGCAGCAGCAGCAGCAGCAGCAGCACTAGTAGTAGTAGTAGTAGTAGTAGTAGTCGTAGTAGTAGTAGTAGTAGTAGAAGTAGTAGTAGTAGTAGTAGTAGTAGTAGAAGTAGTAGTAGTAG